TTACACAGAATCAGGACCCCCAGAAGTGGGCATAGGTCTGTCCAAGAGGAGAAGGCATGGTTCATAGTTCATAGTTTCTAAGAAGACTGCAGAGTTCTACATGCCAGCCTGTTCTTCATGCAGGTGGAACACTCTGGGTGATCAATTGCAAAGTTGGTGGGGCTATGTCTGAGAAGTTCCCGCTTCATGTCCACCAAACAATCCTATGTCACATAAGTTGAGAGCTTTTTGAAGGCCTTCTTTCTTCTCCTGGGGGGGGGCTGGGCTTATATTTCAGGAGAGAGGTTATAGCATGTGAGCAGACAAGAAGTAAAACAGTTGTGTGGTGGAGGACATTTAACCAGAGATGGAAAACATGCGCTTTGCATGCAGCAGGCCCCAGGCCTGACATCTCCAGATAAAGGATCTCAGGTAATAGGAGGTGGGAGAGATGCTCTTCCTAAGACCATGGAGAGCTGTTCAGATCAGAGAAGATGCTAGTGAGCTTGATGGACCAGTAGTCTGACTTAAGATTGCCCTCCAAAGATTCCATTGGAGAAGTGCTCTTGTACAGCACATACTTTGCATATAGGAAGTCCAACATTCAATATTTCATCTCCAGTTAAAGTAGCAGGGGCTGGAAAAGACTTCAGAGAGCTGTGGTCAGTACCTGATGCATTATACTGAGCTAGATGGACCAATGGTCTGATTCAGGGCTTTCCTGTATTTGCATTTTCCTTGCTTGTAAATTTCTGTTTCTTTGGAGATTTTTTTCTGTTCCTCCACACATTTTGCTCCCTCAAGTGGTTGATTTGATATTACACCGGTTTATTTCCAGTATATCTAATAGTCAAGTGGCCCCGTGAGTGCGGATCGCTAAATCCGCGCTCCGGGGCCACCTGGGGGGCAGGGGGAGGTTTGTGCACTCTTGGGGCAGTCCCCAGGGGTGCACAAAAATCTTAAAAGTTTAAAAAATTTCCTGAGGGTCCTTAAATTTGCCAAAATAATAAAGAGCGTCCCCTGCGCCTGCGCGCCGAACGCTCTTGGAACGGGGGTTGGAGTTTACGGCCAGCAGGAGGGGCGGCGCGTTCTTTCCCTCGCCCCCAGCCCACCTTCCCTTTCTGCGGGGTCTCACACCTCTTCGCCGGCTTCCTCTCCTCTGTCGTGTTGCCTCCCCCGCCCGGGCCGCAGCGTCCCCGGCCCTTCAGCATCCTGATATGGCCGGCAGGCGGGAAAGGTGTGGGGGGGCCTGAGGCTGCGAGTGCGCAATCCATTCCCGGAGGAAGAGCCGCCGCTGCCCCTGACTAGGCCGAGGGGGAGGGGGAGGGCCACGCCGCGCTCGCCCGCTGGGTCTCCCTCCGCCGACAGGGAGGGGGGACGCCACCGGCCTCCCCAGTTCAGCCCTGACCTCGCCAAGCAGTATCTCCTCCCCCGTCACCGCTGCCGCCGCCGCTACGGGGCTGCCCGGTTGAGCCCCAACCTCGCCGTGCAGTCCCCCACCCGCGAGTATCGCGGGTCTCCCTTCTTGTTATTTATTAAATTCGACTTTTAGGCCACCCTCCCCTGAAAAAAAACAGGGCTCAGGGCGGCGTACAGCACAATAAAATTCCAGTACAATTCATAAATTACAGGCAAAATTCCAGAATTAAAACATAAAATATGCCTAAAACATTTACAACTGCAGATCTAAACTGCCGGGTTTAGAAATAATTGACCACTAGAGGGAGCAAAACGCACATGAAACGGGGGGGAACCCAAAAAATTGGGAATGTATTGGTGAAGAAACTGAGAATGCAGAAAAGCCCTCAATCTAAGACAGTTTTCTACCTTCATCTAACTATTCTAAAGCGAAAACCAGCTAGGCATTTAAAGACAACCATAGATTTTATTCTAAACATATGGCAACTTGAACTCATTTGGCTACATCCCCTCTGGTTTATGCACCCACAACTTGCTGTTTTTTTTGCTAGGCCTTGATGCTCCAAAGGATCTTACTGCCACTGAGATCCAGTTTGAAACAGCCTTACTGACCTGGAGGCCTCCACGTGCTTCTGTTACTGGGTACCTTCTCATCTATGAATCCATTGATGGCAAAGTCAAGGTAAGCAGTCTTGGTCATATAGTAGTATGCAACATCTGTCATGCGGAGGATGAATTTAGGGACACTTCTGAATTTCATAGTACTACTTGTTCAGCTCAAAACCCATACTACTTTTTTGCTTCTTTTTTCATTTCTTTTCCTCCTTTCCCCCCCCTTTTTCCTATTAAATATTTTCAAATTGAACGATATTTTTGTTTAGGTTTTGCAAACTGAACGTTATTTTTGGGCCTGTTGCATATAATTGGCAAATAACATATAAATGGTATGAAGATGGTATACAAATGCCATAAAAGAAACAAATTAAGAATGCCAGCAGTGAAAAACTGGGTGAAACCAAAAGACTCACAAGAACAGCACATGAAAACAAAAAAGGCACATTTGTATGCCCTCAACATTGAAAATGTGAACTGCCTACACACACTGGATTCAGCCCTCTTCTAACCCTATGTCCCGTTATTGCTGTTGATTTTTATTTATTTTTTTAAAGATGGGTTTAATGAATTGTATTCTACCTTGGGAATTTTGGTTTGGTTGAAAGTGCAGGGTGCCCTGACCTGGATAGCCCAGGCAAGCCCAATCGCATCAGATCTTAGAAGCTAAGCAGGGTTGACTCTGGCAAGTCCTTGGATGGGAGACCTCCTTGGAATACCAGAGGCAGGAGGCGGGGGCAGGCTTTATTCAGCCACCTCTCTGAATATCCTCCAGGCCCCCAGTAAGGGTTAGTCACCAGAGGTCAAGAGGTCACAATGACTTCCAGGTGCACACAAACACGTGCGCGCACACACAGATACACATGCACATATGAAAAATACAAAAAAATGTTCAGGGTATTTCTGTTTTTATCAAATAAATAACATGTTTTGCCCTTATGTCTGAACCAAACAATTTCTTTCTTTCTTTCTTTCTTTCTTTCTTTCTTTCTTTCTTTCTTTCTTTCTTTCTTTCTTTCTTTCTTTCTTTCTTTCTTTCTTTCTCTTTCTTTCTTTTCTTCCTTCCTTCCTTCCTTCCTTCCTTCCTTCCTTCCTTCCTTCCTTCCTTCCTTCCTTCCTTCTCCAAACTTCCAATCCCAGGACTTAAGGTGGTTAACAGCAAACCTATTAAACGTTAATGCAGACTTTAAAACCTGGACATTAAAAAAGGGGGGAGGGGTGTTGCCATCTTGCAGACAAACCATCAAGCCAAATGGGAAGGCCTTAACTGCTATTTTCTATGGCCTTCTAAGTAGTGAAATTATTTCTTTCTGAAGCAGGCTGACTCTACATTTACTCCAGTCATACTCCTAAGGATGCCACAATGGTGGAAGAAAATACTGTGCTCAATATTTGATGTGCTTCAGGCCCACAGCTGCAATTAGCGCATGTATGGGCTATATTAACTCCTGCCCAGCCTGCCTCTTAAGCAGCACCCCTAGAACATTACCACATGAAACATTCATTGCCAGAGGTCCCCTCTCATATTTCTGATGAGAGCTAGTGTGGGAAGGATCCAACGGGAACAGCAATGACCTCATCAATCATTGAAACTGTTTTCTTAAAGTTGCATGAATGATTCATCGAAGGGCATCAGAATGTGTTAAAAAATGTACGAGTTTTTTTCTCTCTGTGTGGTTCTTTGACAAAAAGCAGTCCTCCATTATTGATTCTCCTGTCAGGAAGTCATACTGGGACCTGAATCAACTTCCTACAGCTTGTCGGATCTCAGTCCATCCACCCAATACACAGTGAAATTGCAAGCGCTCAACCGGAGCCTGAAGAGCAAGATAATCCAGACCGTTTTCACCACAAGTACGATATACAAGCGGAAGGCCTGCAGGGAATTGTGGGAGGGGGAAATAGGGTTGCCAGATCCCTACCTTTTGCTAGCGGGTGGGGGGATGAGGCTTCCCATCTGGGTTCTTCTCTGGTACCATACAGTTTGTTGGCCGAGTGCTAGAGTGTCCCCCCAGCAATGTGCCCGGCACATTGTGCCTGGCACATTGTGCCCCCCAGGTGATGTCATCCCGCCGGGCACATTGGTGCAATCCCGTCACTTTGGGGGCTGTGTTCCCCCCACCAGCCGGATCTGGGTCGGCGGATTGGGGGCCCTAAAAGCGGGCAAACTCCTGCCAGGGCCAGCCCAAGGTTTCTCGGCGCCCTAGGCAAAACTAGCGCCCTCCCCAGGCAAGGCTGCCTTTTGGCACCCCCCTCACCTTGTGTCTCTCCCCCCCCCGCCGCCGTGTGACTCTCCGTGCGCCTGCAAAGAAGTTCCATGATGACACTCCGGACTGGGAGAAAGGCAGGGAGGGAGGGCGGAGGGCACAGCAGGAGGCGGGGAAGGGATTCCTCCCCCCCAAAAAAATTCTCTTTAGAGGCAACCACCCCCCGCCCCCAGCTGCCGCCGCTGCACAGCCTCAATCTGGAGCGCACCCAGCCCGGGCCTGGCCGGCTTCCAACGGCAGCCAACCCACACCCCGCGGCCTTAAAATAGCCTCCTTCCCTCCCTGGGCTGACAATAGGGCGCAGGGAGGACGAGCGCTTGATTGACAGGCACCGCTGGGCGGCTGAGCTAGAGGCAGACAGATGGGCGGACGGGCGAGGAAGCCAGAGCGCAGCGCAGTGCAGACCGGCAGGACAGGCAGGAGGGGAGGGGGGGTCGTAGTGTCCCTGGCGTGGCTGAGCAGCCTCTGGTGGCGGATCTCCCCTGGTGAGACTGTGCCACGCTCCGTTGTCTCTTGCCCGCCCCCTCCGGCCGACCCGAGCGCGCCACGGGCTCCCTGTGCCATCCAGGAGCACAGGTCCATCAGTGGCTATTAGCCACAAGGTATAGATAGGGACTCTGGGGCAAGTGATGCTCTGTATTCTTGGTGCTGGGGGGGGGGTCAACAGTGGGAGGGCTTCTAATGTCCTGGCCCCACTGGTGGACCTCCTGATGGCACTGGTATTTCTGGCCACTGTGGGATACAGAGTGTTGGACTGGCTGGGCCTTTGGCCTGATCCAACATTGGCATCTCTTATGTTCTTATGTTCACTGCCAGGCCAAGATGTGGCAGCTGAAAGCAGCCAGGCGGGGGGGGGGGCTTTTGGCGGGGGGATGGGTGCAGTTTGGCGCCCATAAGGGCCAGCACGCTCTAGGCAAACACCTAGTTCGCCTAGTGAGCAAGCTGGCCCTGACTCCTGCCCCCCCCTCCCCAGGGAATGGCAAGCCTAGGGGGAAACCATTTGGAAATTTCACCCCATTCCCCAAAAATCTCTCCCTCCACTATTCTCTCACCACAGTGGCCTGAGCAGACCCAGGTGAGGGCTACAGATCACTCACAATTACAACTGCTCTTCAGGTAGCAGTTCCTCTGGAGAAAACAGTGGACTCTGTCATTATACCCTGCTGAGGTCACCACAGCAAATTGACACTGTTTGCCCAAAGTCAGAGTACTCCCCCAGAGCCTCTTTCTAGATCCCGTTGTATTGCTTTCACAACGGGCTTTACTGCTAGTTCCTATTTATAAACTGGAATTGAGAAGGATGGAATGGAACGCTGCACAAAGAAATTCCAGAACAATAAAGGAACAGAACCAGCAAACGTGTGTTGAGAGCACAAGCAGCGTAATGGCTGGACGGTTCGGGCTACATACAGGGAGTCCCACATCCAAATTCCCATTAATCGGTGAACTTCCCAGGTGGCGTTGGGCCAGTTACTTGCTCTCAGCCTAATCTACCTCATAAGGTTGTTGTGAGGATAAACAGCTTCGTGAGGAGTGAGCAGGCTCCAGAGGGGATGGTATCCTGAGTGCTGGACAAGGTTGCCAACTCTGGCTTAGAAAATTCTTGGGAATTTGGAGGCAGTGTCGGAGGAGGAGGAAGTTTAGGAAGGGGAGGAAGCCCTGCAAGGACGTGATGCAACAGAGTCCACCCAGTGAAGCTGCCTTTTGCTCCAAGGGATCTGATCTCTGTAGTCTGCAGAATGGTTGTTATTTTGGGACCACTCAAGGCTCCACCTGGAGGCTGGTAACCATAAGAGTGCAGCTGAGTACTAACTCAAGGCAGCAATTGTTACCCAGGACAAAGTGACTGGTTTGGAGGGTGTAGTCTATGGCATTCTACCTGTCTGAGGTCCCACCCCTCTGCAAACCCCACCCTCTCCAGGCTCCATCCCTCAAATCCCCAGGAATTTGTCAGCATGTAGTTGGCAACCCCATCTCCTTCCCAGCTAACCATCAACCTACCATTATCTGCCCCTTTGACTTCAGCTGACTTCTGCCCTCCCTTCTGCAGAGCAGTTGTAATTCTGAGTGCTCTCCAGCCCTCACCTGGAGATTGGCAACAATGGTTCCCTATGTGGGACTGACTGGTTTGGAGGGTGGAGTCTATGGCAGTGTACCTGTCTGAGGTCCCACCCCTCCTCAAACCTCACCCTCTTCAGGCTCCATCCCTCAAATCTCCAGGAATTTCCCATCTGGAGTTGGCAACCCTATCAGGACTGGCCCCAATGTGTTTTCTCCCAAAGGCCAAAGTAGGTGACAGGACCAAGCTTAGTTGCCTACCAACAGGCACTGAGGGGAATGTAGGGTTGCCAGCTCTAAGGAGGGAAATACCTGGAGGTTTGGGGGGTGGATTCTGTAGAGGGCAACAT